TTATGTTGGTTGTCAGTTCCGTCTCTCTCCTCCTCCCTCTGAACAGGAAATTTGTGTGTTGTATCTGGATAAATTTCTGATTTTTCTCATAGCAAAGGTTTTGGCTCCAGGCTCTTACACCTTGTGTCTGCCTCACTGCACGATGGAAATGATATCCTGTGTGCAGCCTCGCACTTTCCCCAGTGCAGGGATGTGCCAACAGCATCTCATTGCCATGTCCCGCCTCAGGGTGAGTCCCAGGGAAGATCGAGATGAATGCTTGGCAAGGTGTGGACGTAGGAGCTGCGTGGATTCTGCAGGCTCCAGTGATGCACACTCAGGGGGAGACATGGCTTCATTTCCCACATTTCTTTCACACAAAGCATGATTATGGGGAAGTGCTTCCATATGGCCTAGAGAAAATCCCAGCCAAAAACAGCTTCAGCTGGTCAGTTTCAGAGCTGTGACAGACGTGAAGGGGCCATAATAAGAATCAAGATGATGAAGGACCATGTTTTCAGGCAGGCAGGAATCTTTGCTACCTATGCCTTAGCTCAAGCACAGATATACGGAACCTGATAAAATGCCAGCATTCTGTGGGATGCTCCTAGCTTACACCATGTCACTCATGCCCTGCACTGAAGGCTCTGTCTGTGCACTCCTGTTACCCTTTCTATGTAGAATTTGATTTTGAAAAATTGAACACTTTAGGGGTACTTAACCTGGAATGTCCTAAACAGGCATCAGGGGTCTGAGAACCCCACAAAAAATCAGAATGGCAAATTTGGGGCTGACAAATACACATGATTTTCCAGGAAAGAAAATGCACAACTTTTAATAGAGTCTCAAAAGCATATGTAATCCAAAATCAAGAGACAGAGAGAGAACAATGAACTACCTTGCATTTCAGTACCTCTTCTTCACACTTCTCCAGATCAGACTGCCCCCTGGCACAATTTCATTTGGCATCTGCCCTGGTTCAATTAGAATTATCTCAAGTTCTAATCTTTCTTGGACCCTGACAAAACGAGGTAATTTCTGGTGAGATTTCCAAACTTTCTAAGGCTAACGCTAACTCTACGTACCTCCAATACACCCTGATCTGGCTACTGTCTTTCTGCCTTAGTCCCTCATCCACATGCCTTCGTGAATGAATACTCCTCAGCATAGCCTGTCTCTTCAAACTGTGTTCACTGATCTGAGTCCTAAAACTTTGGTTTCTCCTATAATTCACTCTTTTTAAATTCACACTTTCAAGGTTTTCCTCTATACCAAGCAGTAGCTCTCTTAAAATCAGTCCCCAGATGGACTGATCATTGACTTTCAAATATGTTTACAAATACCTACATTTACACTTAAAGTACATAAGAGGTGTTGAAATGTGAAAAGTTCCCTTATCCCCCGTGCAGGGCGAGCGACGGGGGAGTAGCTTGCTTCTTCAGAGCCCCTCAGCTTAAACCCCTAGTGGGAACATCCAGATGGGCAGGTTATGGGGAATGTGGGGCTCTAACCCCATGGCAGCATCTAGAATTGAGTGTTTAAAGTTCCTGAAGTTCCAGCGGGTGTTAGAGTGTGCTCTCTCAGCTCAGCTGTCCTCAGGTGGCTGTGTAATCAGCTCAGTTAGACCCTCTGCCTTATCTCAAGGACAGAGGGCTTTCTGTATCCCAGGGTTCTTGCCTTACTGTACTGGAAAAATCGGATCATACGTGGTCTTGGAGAATGAGTACAAAGTTTTATTTAACGGTGGAGGCAGCTCTCAGCAGATGGATGGAGAGGAAGGAGGGGGATGGAGTAGGAAGGTCGTCTTTCCCTGGAGTCTGGGCTCTCCTCCACCCACCCTCTGCCAAGTTTCCCTCTGGGTCTGTGTCGCTGCACTGCCAACAGCCTGTCAGTGTCTGTGTGTTCTTCTGCTGGTGTGTTCCTCTGAATGTCTAGTCACTTGTGTGTGTGCCTGCTAGGGTCTTGGGGTTTTTATAAGCACAGGATGGGGGCCATGGCGGGCCACGGTGGGCCACAGTGGTCTTGGAAAATGCAACATTTGGGTGCGAAAACAGGAGTCCCTGTCCTCACCTAGGCCCGTGGGCACAGGCCTGAGGGTGGAGCCCTAGCCAGGGACCCTGGCCTTCTCTACCCAACACTTTCCTGCTCCCCTCCCGTATCAGTGTGACATTCATCGGTGCCCCAGTGAGTAATATTTTTAATAAAAATGCAGCCAGCGTTTACTGAGTACTCTCTAGTACTCCGCTGTTTGGCGTGGTCAACATGGGTTGATTTTTTAAATCCTGACAACGGCTCTACAAAGGCAGTACTGTTGTTATTCCCAGTTTAAAATTAGAAATCCAAGATACCCATGGAAGTTAAATAATTTAAATAACTCACACGGCTCGTAAGCAACAGACCCAGGACTTAACCCTGGAAGGCTGGCCCCAGACCCCAATTTCCTAATCATTTCCCAATATTTCCTTTCATAATTAATTATGGGAGATGTCTCTTAACTTTCTGGTCCTTAGTTTCCTCATCTGTAAAACAAGTAGGACATCATTCAAACTATAATGCAAGGATGCTGGTGGAATGAAATGATATAATATGTCTGAAGAGATCTTCGGGGATTATAAAGCATTTGATAAATAGTAATAATAACAAACAGATGGAATGCTAACTACTTGGTTTCCTGCCTCCTTGGAAGCCAGGGTGTTATATGCCATAGTTCTGGTCAATGAAGAAAAGAATTCCCTGGGGAGAATAGCCACATCCCAGATAATAAGGAGGAACAGAGCGTGAAAAGCGTTTTTTAAATACTGTGTTCTTTATAATGACATAGGCAAAAGCCACCCTCCAAGGCTGTGAGAAGAGAGAAAGGTACCTGGTTCCTGAAAGACACAGTAAAACAACATCCCCAGCCTCAGCTGTTTGCTCCAGGCTTCTTGTTAGAAAAGATTTATAAATTCCAATGTTTCTAAGTTGAGCTTTCGGTGATTTGAGTAGAAAACATTCCTCATTGATAGATCACCATTTAAGGCCACCTCTTTCATGAAGTCCATAAATTGGAACCTTCATGACTTCATGGTTTCCAAACTCAGCTAGGCCCTCACAGCTATTCCTCTTTCTTTGTACTCTTGGTGAATTCCTTCTTCTTTCCTTCATGGGAACAGGCTCAAGTCTCTGAGCCCTCACTCCTAGTGGCTAAGTCTATCTCCTAATAAAGAGCCAAATAAAGACAATAGCCTGGAACACCTCATGGTGTTCTCCAACCAGCCCTGTAGAGTTATTCAGTTGTTGACAGGGTGTTGGTCTGTTCCCCTCTTCTTATCCTGAGCAAATCTTTCCCTTTATACATTCTCACCTTCTCTTCACCCACCAACCCACTGCAATCAAGCTTTAGTTCCAGCCTGCAGTTCATCAAAATCACTCTTGCTGACATCACAAATGACCTTCAAATTGCCAAAAACAAACTTTTGGGCCCTTATTCCAGTTTAATTCATAAGAGCATTTAACATTGTTGACCACCCCTATCTCGTTTTTGAAATTACTTATTCCTTTGGGGTCCATGGTACTGTTCAGTCTCAGTTCTGCATTTACCTACTTACACTATTCATTCCTTCTCTGTTGGATTCCCTCAAACATCTTCTTTGGCTAAATGCTTTGACTTTAGCTTTTCCTCAAGATGCAATTATTGGCTTCCTTTTATATTCTACATACTCTCTTTGGATAAACTCACCTACTTATATAACTGAATGCCACCAACAAGGGGTTTTGCTATTGGCCATGATAAACTAGCATGTTTCAGATCAACCCTCCAACCACAGACAAAACATAATCAATATCTGTTTGCAGGCATCAGAAAGATACTGAGGTACTGGATACTTATGGGGTCAAAATTTTGGTAAGAATAAAATTCAGGTGAAACCGGGATGCGGAGGTTGCAGTGAGCTGAGGTCGTGCCACTGAACACCAGCCTGGTGACAGGGCAAGACTCTGTCTCCAAAAAAAACAAAAAGAATAAAATTCAGGGAGGTAGACTCTCATCTTTGATATGTGTCTCCTCTTCATGAATTCCTTACCCAGATGAATAGCAAACATGTCCACCCAGCTGCGCAAGATGGAAAATTTGGGCCATTCTAGCTGCCTCTTTTCTCTTATAGCCTTCATTCAAAGAATTACCAATTCTACATCCCAAAGATTCTACATCATTCTACATCCCAAAGATCTCTCCACCTGTTCCTTCCTCTAGGTTTCCTGCCACGCTACCGTAGATCGCGGCCTCATTATTTTAAACACTCTTGAAAATTTTGAAAAACACTTCCTATTTGGACTCCCTGCTTCCAGGTTCATCTGACAGGTAGTTGAGACTATATGGCCAGCAAAGCCTAAAATATTTACTATCTATGCCTTTACAAAAAGTTTACTGCTTCCCCAAACTAAAGGATTTTTTAAAAGACAGATATTATTAAAGTGAAAAGATGGCAATTTCCAAATACATAAAACTTAGAAACTTAGAAACTCTAATTACACCAAATTGAAAGTCAAATAACAAACTGGAACCACATTTGAAATAAGTATGACAGATAAAACGTTAGTATTTGTGATATCTCAAAAGCGCTCAACAATGAGGAAAAGATCGACATCCAAATAGGAAAACTGATAAACAGCTTCAATAGCTAACTGAGAAATTAAAAAGTATAAATGGTCAATAGATACATGACAATATTTTCTACCTTGTTAGCCATCAAAGGAAGACAGATAAATTATTTCATGATTTACCTAAAAATTTTCAAATATATATATTTTAAATAGTAATACCCTGCATTGGCAAAGGTTCAAAGAAACAGGTCCTCTTTGAAGATACGATGGGATCAAAAGTTTGACACACACTTTTTGGAAGACACTACACTTTTAGAAAATGGGCCAAAAGCTATTTCCAACTAAAAAGGCTTAGCATTGAGAAAATGTTATCCCAGCCATAGAAATGGTCTAAAATACATCTTGTATGATGGTAATACCGTATTGGGTTCAAAACCTACTTTTTTCAGGAGAAACCTGTGACTTCGATTGTCCCCGTACCAGCCTGCAGGTGGAGCCATCGCCAGCACAGACTCCACAGTTGTCCTCCTTGGCACTGCTTCCCAGTTGCCGATCGCAGCCCACTGCCTGCCAACAGAAGCATGGCCGTCAGTGGTGCCCAACGCCAGGGCAGGGGGAGCTCCCTTCATTTCGGGAACCTTAGTTGTGATGTCATCCTTAAATTTACAGGTTGGCCCTCCTGTATGAGAACACAGTTTTATGAATGTGAATGATACGCTGTCTTACAGGATAGCATCACTTATCTGATTCTAATGCAAGACCCTCAAATTAATAAAGAGTTGAAGCTGTCCCTCCGTACCCCATCTCTTTTCTATTTATATTTTATTCAGATTTGTTTCTTTCGTTTTGTTTTTGAGACAAGATCTCACTCTGTTGTCCAGGCTGGAGTGCAATAGTAAGATCATGGCTCACTGCAGCCTCAACCTTCTGGGCTCAAGAGATCCTGCCACCTCCCTCAAGTAGCTGGGATCACTTGAGCCTGGGAGGTTGAGTGACAGGCCTGTGCCCCAACACCCAGCTTTTCAAAATCTGATGTGAAAACAGGGTCTTGTTGCCCAGACTGGTCTCAAATTCCTGGGCTCAAGTGATCCTCCTGCCTTGGCCTCTCAAAGTGCTGGGATGACAAGCATGCACCAAAGCTCCCAGCCCAGATACTTTTATGTACGTAAAATAAACAGAACATTACAGTTATTTCCTCTCTCCTGTCTCTTCTCAGCCCTACCCTTATTCGCCTTGTTTTCTCATTTCCTCGCCAAAACAACCACTGTCCTAAATTTGATGTATAACTTTCTGGTTCATAGTTTTACTTTAAATATCTTTTTTTTCCTGTTTTTACTTCTATCTCTACATACCTATATCCCTATATCCATATATTAATATCTGCCTATAGTCTTCATCTATATCTTTATATCTCCTTGGCTGTATCATTAGCTGTATGTATGCCTGTGTATCCCCATCTCTGCCGTTACATCTCTCTCTATATAAATAATTTTTAAAATATAAGAAGGAATTAACAGGAGAGATGGCTCATATAAAATATGTGTTTACACAGTTATCTTTCTCTTGTCATTTTTCATGTGTACATATGTGTGCATATTTGCTAGACGATAAGCTTCCCTATATGAGAAAAAAGGGCTATGTCTTATATTTCTTTTTATCTCATAAGCATGTATTTTACATAATGTATAAAAGACAATAATATCAACTGATCTGATGGTTTACCTTTTCCTTCCCATATTCATCTAACTTTATTCACATTTATAAACCTGGGGTTTAAGTGCAGGGACTTTGGAGGAAGAAAACACCCACTTACAAACCTGGACCCACCGATCACCCCTTTCAAGCTGCAGGATGTTGAAAAATGCAAACTCTCAGAGACTCGTTTTCCTCAACAGTAAAACAGAGATAATAATACCAATATATACTTCACACAGGGCATAGTAAGGATTCAATGAGAAAATGTACTTAAAACTCTTAGTATAATGATTCAAACATTATAAAGGATTCACTAAAAGAGGGCCAATTTTATTATTTCTCTTTTTTATCTTGTTTTGACTCTCAGGTAATCCCCCATGCTTCAGCTTGGAGAGTTGTTGAGTTAGACTCTATGTCCAGGCTGCTGAAGAGAAAATGAAACTAGAGGAAGTTGAGACAATATTTATACACTACCCTTTCCAAAATTTTGGGGTTGAAGGGAAGGAGAAAGATCAAGTGAAAATTTCAGGGAGAGGTAGGAAGTTCCAAGGAAGTTTAGGGAATAGCTTACGATTAGAGATATTTTCAAATTCACAAAGGGCTATCAGGAGGAAAGGGTCTACTTTTGTTCTGTGTATTTCCAAATGGTGAAAGCTACAGGTTTAAGCATGATTTGGATCAATGTGAGAAAGTTTGAACAGTCAGAGTTATCTAATAATAAGTATTCAATCATGGTCTAGGAGACTTCTTGGTGGGGAAATTGTAGGGGGGATTAAATTATTAGATGAGTAGCTTAATTCAATGAAGTTTGACGTCCATTAATCCTGATGATATGATTTTATAAAGATAGTAATACAATATTAATAATTGCTGATTTTTATTGAATGCTTAGCATGTATCTGGCATTCTGCCATGAATATTGTACATACTGTTTCATTAAATCTTCAGAGCAATTTTATGATGTAGCTGATACCTTTTATCTCTATTTTATAAATAAGGAATCTAAACATTACTGAGTTAAATGATTTGCCAATATTAAACAGCCAGTATATAGTGTTGGTAATGGTTTTAAAATCTAGGTTATCTGACCCAGAATCTTAACACTACGTTACAACTTCCTCTACCTTAAGTATCAACAGATAGACAACAACAATGAAAACCCAGTTACACAGATCATTATATTAATATTTACAAGTACATGTGGAACAACTTAAGAGTAATTGATTTTGGAAACACACTTGCATGGTCGAGATTCAATCAACGAGTAACTTGTGTTCATGCAACTTTCTCCAAGGGGAGTAATTTACTATTAAATTATAGAAACACTGCTGCTGGGCCAAGCTCTGTCCTCATACATTCATGTCCCTGAGCACTCCACATTTCATGAGAATGAGAGTCACTCTCTATCTGGTCATCCAGGAAGGGTGTGGGTTTAGGAGCTAGGAGGGGCTTGTTTTGAAGAGTGTTTAAGGCCTTGCAAGATCTCGGGCAACTGAATACCTCCCTGAGCACTTATATTTGCTTCATATATTTTTTAAGTTATAGTTCATCCAAATCTTACAGCCAAATAAAGCATGTGAAAACATCACAGAAAAATGATATTTGAAAAGAAGGTCTTGATTTGTGATTCATAAGGAATAAGCCAGAAATAACCTTGAAATTGAGAGGCTACTGAATTTTGGCTTTCATATCCCATCACAATCAACAATAAGTAACTTCTAAAAAAATTGCCTGAAGTGTTTCCAACTTCTATGACATCGTCTGAAGTCATGATCTCTAATTATAGTGATTTATTAGCTACTAATTGACAGATACATCAATAAAATTTATTAACATCTATGAAATAACCATTTTCTATATTGCCAGACACTACAGAGTATAAATTAATAATATAAGATTCTTACCTTACAGTGTAGTTAATGAGAAAAATTACACAAGATAGTGGATGACATAAACAAATATTTAAAATATACGAGCAGTTCTTTTTGGAATAAATATTCATCTATAAATCATCACTTCAGTTAAACATTATTTCACATTTCCTGCATATGATTTCCTGATCAGCTAAAAGAAGATAGTACTTAAATCAGTGGCACTAGTCCAAATGAAGCAAAATATAAATTTTTCAGAGAAGTCAAATTTAATCCTTCAAGAACAAAACAACTTTTTTAAAATCAACTTTTGTTTGAAATCTCTGCACACTGAATTCTAACTTGGGGGGAAAAAAATCTGACATTTCTGCCTTAAAAATCGGAGTACATGAAGCTGTGGTAGTCACTGGGGATACTCATCAACATTTTGCTTCCTTCACCCCACAGAAGGTATGCACTTCACCCCCTCTGAAGTTAGGTGTGGTCATTAATTAACTTTGGCAAAGGAAATACGAGTCTAAGTGATTGATCCGCGTCACTTCTATAAGGAGATTTAAGGGTCAGTGTCTTGAGTCCCATGTTCCTCTTGCATTATTGCAGTTATTACGTAAAAAACGTGTGCAAATAAAGCCTTCTTCAGCCTGAGTCTCCGAGACATTCTAAGAGCTGAGGGTCCTGTTGGTCGCTGTTGGGCAAGTGGCATCAGCAAGAAGCAACCTTTAACGGTTTTAAGACACTGAGCTTTGGAGGGTTGTTGGTTACGGCAGGAAAACCCAACCAGTATTCTACTGGACTCTAATTTAACCATTAATGGATAAAGTAGGGTTATCAGTGGTAAGATGATATTTAAAAATGAAAGTTTCACATTAAAATCCAGTTTTCTGGCTTCTCTTGACAAAAACAAAACCAAAACCAAACCTCTGACATGTTTATACATAGTTGTCCCCTTCAAAATGAGCATGCATCCTCCAGTTCCCCACCACAGTCGCCACCCCACATGACTACATCCGGACAGTTTCTCTCTGGGGCAGTGCGTAGACATTTGAGTCCGAATGCCTGTACTAAGTCATCTAAGCATGACTCATCTGTTGAACTGACCGTACTTTACCAAATTATACCTCATCTTCAGTTACAAACTTCAGATATACTTGTACCAAGATGAAAAGTATCATCAGTCTAGCCCCCAAATTAAGAAATTAGATTCTGGAATTAGGTTGTCTGGGTTCAAATTCCAGCTCTACCACTTCCTCGCTGTGTGCAACAGACTGAATGTTTGTATCTGCACCCAAAATTCATATGCAGGAACCTAACCCTCTAGGTGATGGTATTAGGAGGTGAAACATTTGGGGGGTAATTAGGTCATGAGAGCAGAACCCACATGAATAGGATTAGTACCTTTATAAAAGACACCCTGGATACCTCCCTCCCCTTCTGCCATGTGAGAACATAGCCTCTGTGAACTAGAAAGCAGGAACCAGGCCCTCACCAGACACTGAATCTGCCAGCACTTGGATTTTGGACTTCCCAGCCTCTAGAACTGTAAAAAATACACTTCTGTTGTCAATATGCTACCCAATGTATGGTAGCTTGCGATAGCATCCCAAATTGACTAAGATACTGTGCAACTTGGGCAAATTACTTAATCTCTTCAATTTCCAGTTTCCTTATCAACAAAGTGGGGAGTAAATACTGTACCTACTTGATAGGGTTATGATGAGCTAACAGTAAAGGGCTTAGACAATGCCTGATACCTGGGCTAAGCACCCAGTGTTAGTTGTTATTATTTATATTTTTATTCCAAATTCTAAGTGGTTTCTTCATCTGCACAGCTATCAGGGAATTCAGTAAACATGAATGACAAATCAGACTTGGTCTGCAGAGCTGGTACCAACCAGGCAATGCCTCTAATAAAAATCAGACCTCCAAAGCAGAAGCAAACCTCATTCAGTGAGGACCGCTGTCTCAGGCTGTCAGCGGTGCTCAGGCTAATGGAAAGTTCCT